CCATGTCCCAGGAGACCGTTCTCCTCTTCCCACTTTATCCCATTATCCACTCGGTGGGATGCCGAGAGCTGCTGGGTGGTTGGGAAGGGAGGGGGCCCCACACCGCTGGAAGTGTTGGGAATCACCAGGGTGGAAATGGGCTGGTGATGGGTCCGAGGGACCGGGCAGGGATGACTTCTCCACTAAAGCTGGTGTGTTTGCAGGCAGGGGCAGCCCGTGTACTCCATCCCTCCCGGCGGCTTCCGGCACCCCTACCCTGCCCTCGCCATGAACGCCTCCATGTCCAGGTGGGTCCAAGCAGGGATGAGGGACCCTCCTTGAGCATCCCGGAGCTGGCAGCGGGATTTTGGCTGCTTCCCTGAGGACGTGGGGCTCATTAACACAGTGGGTGCTCCCGGTGCTCTGCATGGGCACAAATCAGTCCTGGGAGGTTCTGGTGGCCTCCTTGGCCAAAAATACCCCCATAAGGGTGCGGATGGTCCCCATGGGTAGGGGAGAAGTGACAGCCTGTGGGCTCAGGGCATCGCTTGGGTCCGTGTTACTGCCCTGCACAAGCTGGGGTGGGATCCGGTGTCAGACCACACCATGGAGCGGGTGGTCTCTTAACCCAGAAGGTTTCAGTCCTGGGAGGTTCTGGTGGCCTCCTTGGCCAAAAATACCCCCATAAGGGTGCGGATGGTCCCCATGGGTAGGGGAGAAGTGACAGCCTGTGGGCTCAGGGCATCGCTTGGGTCCGTGTTACTGCCCTGCACAAGCTGGGGTGGGATCCGGTGTCAGACCACACCATGGAGCGGGTGGTCTCTTAACCCAGAAGGTTCTCAGGAGGGTTTGGGGTGGAACCCGGGGGCTGTTGGTGCCAGTGGGGAGCTGACAAGCCCTCTCCTCCTGTTCCGTCTGCTGCAGTTTGATGTCCAGCCGCTTCTCCCCACACATGGTCCCACCACCCACCCATGGGCTGCACCCCTCGGGCATCCCGCACCCCACCATCATCTCGCCCATCGTGAAGCAGGAACCCACCCAGCCCAGCGTCAGCCCCGGAGGCAACACGTGAGTGAGGGGACAGAGCAGCCCCGGGGACAGGAGCTCATCCCCTGCGTGGGGCAGAGCGGGTCCTGACCCCCCTCATTGCAGGAAGTCCCCCGTCACTGTGAAGAAGGAGGAGGAGAAGAAGCCCCACATCAAGAAGCCACTCAACGCCTTCATGTTGTACATGAAGGAGATGAGGGCCAAGGTGGTGGCCGAGTGCACGCTGAAGGAGAGCGCTGCCATCAACCAGATCCTGGGCAGACGGGTACGGCCATTTCCCTTGGCATTGACCTTGTGCCCCTGTGCTGCCCTGTTTGTGGCCTTGAAAGGGCTTTCATAGGCTCCCAGCCTGGTTTGGGTTGGAAGGGAGCTTAAAGCTCCTCCAGCTCCAACCCCTGCCCCGGGCAGGGACACACTCAACTCGAGC